CTATTACTTATTGTTTCCTATGATCAAAATATTTGAAAGATCTTGCTGTGAGTCATGGGACTTCTGAAAAATCATACCTTTTACCGGGGAATTTTTAAAAAGCCTGACTCCACAGGGTTTTGGCTCATCGAGGCCTGACCCTGCGGGGTCTTTGACTCCATGGGGCCCTGGCGCTACGGATCTTGACTACGCGGGGTCCCAGTCCCGTCGGACCCTGCTTCCTCCGGGTCTAACCTTTCCGGTTTCCGGCTACACGAGGTTCTAACCCCACGAAGTCCCGGCTCTGCAGGGTCCCGGTTCCATGGTGTCATAACTTCACGGAGTCCCGGCTGCACAGGGTTGTGGCATCACGGGGTTCCGGCCCCGCCGAGTCTTGGCCCCACCGGGCTTCGAGAGTACTGAGACTGCCAGGCAGTCAGTATATGCATCCAATGTTAGTGTTTTTACTGTAATATTTATACATAACTAAATTACTCATCGTCTTGTTCGATGCGGCGTTTGTTCAGGGGCCGCCCATGTAGTAGTCTGCTTCCTGGCAGGTACTGCTCGAGTTTGCCTGATAACAACTAGGTGAGCAACATGCTTTGCCCATCGAATTTTACTTTCTCATGTGATCGTAATAATATCCTGTATGCCATTCAACCCAGTAGTAAATCCAATTGCTTGCATAGACACGAAGGAACAGTATTTAATGGTGACGCAGTATTTTCTTAAAACGTGATTTCCTGAAAACGAGAAGTTCGAAAAACCCGGTTCTGCCCGCGAAAAATCCGATTTTAGCATATTTTTATTTCGGAAAACCTAGTGTCGCCTGCGAAAAATCTCGTTTTGACGTATTTTTGTTTTACAAAAATCCGGTTTAGTCCGCGAAAGATCAGCATATCTATCCGATTTATTTGATCAGGTTCCGTTGATTTTTCATTTTTCTTCACTAATCAGTTCAAAATATCAAGATATTCCGTTCCTGTGAAAATCTTAATTTTCATGTTTCTGTTGTCTCTGATTGTGACAGAAAAGAGCTACTACTGTTAAAGCAGTTTTGTAAAAAAATAAATTTTCGCGTTTTGTTGATTTACAATTTGCCTGAACACTCGAAACAACCGTAATTTCGTTCTCTTTATCTCCAGCTATGTAAATTGTAAATTTTCCAATTAATCTGGTCAATTTTACATTGGTTTTTGATCATCCAGCTGGCAATCTTGACGTTTGTTTCATCTTCTGAAGGGATTAAGAGATCAGCAATTTTTTAAAAAAAAATTCGGGAGTAGAGGGGGTTTAGCTCTTTCGAGATTTTTTTTCTGCTGATTTTCATCAAGTCGTCCTAAATGAAGCCGTATTTAATTTATATAAAATATCTGATTTAGGGTTTTATTTTTTTTTGGTCAAAATCCTTGAATTTTGTCAATTTTTACGTTATTTTTGGTAGTAATATTTGTTCGAAACAATTATCACCGTTTCGCGTCGAAACAGCTGTCGCCTCAACCTGTTTAGCAAATTTTCCATACTTTTGGTGGCCGGAATTATATCGCTAGGTACTAAAGGGGGGGGGGGG